TACCACATTTAAAATCAGCAATCTCAGTAATGTTCTTCGAGAATTTTATATGACCACGTGTGACCGAAAGTGGTTATGTATATGTATATAATAATAATAATAATAATAATTTATTATTCTAGGTCAGATGAAACAGAACACGTGGTAACAAAAAACCGAATTTAAAATGCCAACTGAGCTGTTGTTGAGCAAAATTGAACTGAATTAGTACGATAAGGTAGTTGATCTAATTAGTTTGAACAGTAATAGAAGAAGTTCTACTTAAAAAAAAATTTTTTTTGCTTGGCATGTTAGTGAAATCAAGCGACTGCGTCAGGTTCTTAGTATTAAAAGTACCACCATCTTAGAGGATTCAAGGAAGCTGATCAAACTATTTTGACGAGGATTGGCAAACAGATAAATGCTAATTTAATTTGATACTTTTGAAACTGTCAAATTGAGAAGGTTGCAACGTAATAAACGTTTGAATTTAATGTGAGTTCAAAAAAGGCATAAAGTAAAGAATTGACTTTAAGTGGGTTWATAAGCTTCTGCTTTGTAAATTTTGAAGAGAGTTGCAAGCTGTTTATATCCCTAATGCAATAATAATTCTAAGATATAATAATACGCGGTTAACTACGAAAGTGGTATCAAACTAAACACATTTAAGGTGATGATATTGAATAGGATTGYCAATTATTTGACAATTTTTAGTCAGAATATCAGGTATAAATTCAAAACGCTCAAGAAGGGATTTAAAAAGCTAACAGATAAATGTCATTTTTTAAGTAGTCTGACTATTTCATAAAAGTTTGTGGTAGGCCAGTGTTTTAAGTAGGGTTTTCATCTATGTAAAGTTCTCCYTACATACATATTTTATTTTCGAGATCTATGTAGTACCTAAACACTGTAAAAGTTAATTGAAATAAGATCAGTAGTAAGCTCTCTTTGGCAAAATAACCATCCAATTTCTAGAATATGGTAGCGGAAAAGATGATGTATTAGAAAAGTTGAATTTTTGAAATTTTGATTATTTTAAGATTTTTTAAGGATGATTCTTTATTTGCACCTTCAACAGGTTATACTTAGGACAACGTCCGGTGTGTTTAACGTAGGTATCTGCTGAAGACAACCTTACCCCACGGCGCTSAAAAGYAGAGCGGATCAAATCAGTACGTTCAGACAAAGTCTGAAGTCTGGGTTATCCTCAACAAAYMCAACTGCCCGAATGTAGTCGTAGGTCACTCGGCCGTTAGGACTATAGTCCCAACGTTGCCACCTAGCCCTAGATACGTCTTATATTTAGGTTAGCACGAAGTTTGTAAAACCCAGAAAAAACGTCAAAGGTAACAAGGCCAAGTATTTGTATAAATAGATATAAATGATYAGCGTGATGCGCTGAGTCCATTTAGGCGTGTTCGTCTGCGGTCTGTTTGTCTAAATTCCTCACTTGTACTTCCTTCATATAATTTTCTCTCTTCCCGACTTTCAAATGAAGAAATTTTGGARAATGCGCCAAGCTTTCATTGGCAAATAAAAAGATGCAAGAACTAAACCATATAAGCCGGTTACTATTACGTGTGTATAAAAAAATTTAAACAAAAYTTTTTGCCTTAAAAAATTTTATATGAAAAAAGACACGTTTAACAATTTAACTTTCTTTTGATGTATTCACTTCAGTCTACGTCATRTGAGAATATTTAATGGAAATTTACAATTGCTAATAGTTGCATGAATGTTGTGGCGCATTGTCGTGCCTCCATGCCATTATTCATTTAGAAAATATCTTTCGGCTTCGTGGTCAATGAACACCCGTGAACATACAAGGACTTTGAATGTCCAACACGCTTATTGGCGACGAAAGCGATTTGTAGTTGTTGGTGTATATATATTGTAGTATTTTATTGCATTGGATGGAGAATATGCGTAAGTATACATATACTCGTATTTTGATATACCTGTATATAATATAAACTACTCCATGTCATTTGGTTGTATATATTGGGTTGATGTAGGTCGCAGGAAATAATCATAGCGACTGCCCAGATTTGTCTCACCCATATTTCGTATATCGAACGACTCACGTCTATTTGGTCAGTCGTCGGCGTTCCTAAATTCAACAAATATGCAAACACCCTGAAATGACGTGACTSTGTACATATGCAAGTTTGTTGTGTGTATATATGTGTGACAATAATTAGTTGCAATGGTTTAATCAATTCTATGTTTTATGACAATATGGGTGACAATTAGGGTGTTASTATTTATAAATAAATATAAAATTACGGATCAAATTTACAGCATTCACATAGTACACCATGTCGTATGAGGAACACATAATTTATAAGGCACTTGTAAGAATAATATATAACTTTAACTGCGTAAAATTTTAAAGGAATTTTTCTATGAAAAAAACATTCTTTAAGGAACACTGTTTTTGTATTAGATAAACATTTTTTTAGATAAATATTTTTATGCAAAAGATCAAAAATCCCATGTTATATGTAACAAAAAATTAGTATGATTCAGGCGCGATTAAAATTGAGAATAGAGTTGCGTAATAGTTTTAAATCAAAACCTGAAATCTCAGGGGGATTTGGGATTTGGGATAAAAAAAACTCAACTTGTAAAAAAATTAACACCCTAATAAACATATCTATATATGGACGTTCATAAATATATGTATGTATGTAACTATTTATGAGAACGGTACGTGAAAAATTGGTTCATAAATAACAGCTTAAAACATCATATGTAAATAAATAGGTTTATGAAAACACATTTCTAGAATTTTTTTATCGAACATACTAGCCATCGACCCCCACTCAATGCAATCTTCTACCTTCTCGATACCATTTTATATGCACGACTAAACCATAGCTCTCCATCAGGCTACAGCCTCAGCGATCGCTCTTTATTATCGTTGTATTTTTTCCAGTTATCAATTTCTACGGTACCAGAACAAGACAACACGGTGGAAGCGAAATGATTCGAGGACGAATTTATACAATTTTGCTATTATATTACAGCTTTGGTTGTGTGTGGGCATCCACCTTGCACAGAGCATACCCAAATATTTAGAAACGATACGTCCAAAATGCTCCTATAATATCTCTAGAGAGCCACCGATGCCAATCAACTTCAATTTATAGCAACCTAAAGTAATTTTCTGAATTTTTTTTGTTTTTATCCGTAACAATTTCTTAGTAACGTTCAATGTACGGCCTGGCAAAACTGATACTCCTCAAACGACTTTATTTTATTATCTAAATTTTGTTTATCACCAAGACCAAGTAAAATCGTATTGGTGTGGATCTGTCGGTTYATAGTCAGACCGATCTTCTTTAGATACGGCTTAGAAAAATTATTCTTTTTTAAGGGGGAGTCTGCCTTAGAAACTTTAAAAACTCTATTTTTTCTTAAATCTCTTTAAAAATTATCTAAGAATATGCCCCGAAAGATTTAAATGGGCATTCGAAATATTGTCGAATCTAGAAAGGAAATAATGGCCGAGCTTCTAGCAGCTATATCAGCGCTTAGGCAGAAAACGAAAACTTTTACATGCAATTTGTCATTTTTACAATTTTTCTTTATTGAAAAATATAAACATCGTATGGCATCGGGGCAAAGTTTTTGATATTAAATTACCTTCTATTTAAACTAAAAAAAAACTAAGAAAAGCCAAGTTTGAACATATTTTTAAACAACATAAAGTAAAAATATTTTGGTCAAAAACCTCTTTTTTCCAATTTWAAAAAAAATCTATAATTTTACACTATTTTTGGAATTTTCTAAGTTTAACTAGAAGATAAGTTATTAATGAGTTATTATGAATCTCTTTGAAATTTTTGTTTCAGATAGTGATTGAGACCAGCAGCCTGCCCTGCCGTCCGTCAAATGCGAGATGCATCGGGCAATTGCTTCCCAAAGGCAGAATAAAAAAGATTTCGTATCCCAAAAATGATGRCGGATGATGTTTAAATGTAGTATAACTATAAACCCTTAAAATTTCGATTAAAAAAAATCGATTTTTTGAAGCTTCTAAAGCAGGCTCATCCTTAATATTTCCACACTTAATATAAATGTTACTAGAACTTTGCAACTTCATAAGTTCAAAAGTATTCAAAGCAATGAAAAATTTACTTAACGACTGCCATTTTCTGGTTCAATAGATATCCATCCATTATTTTGCGTCTTCTGCMACAAAACCTAACTGCCACTTTTCACAAATCTATTTCAGGGCAAAATATCGATWCTTAATTGCAATTTAACAAAGAAATCGACAAATAGTAGACAAGTAGTAGACAAATACACTTAAACACCTACGCATACAGATGTACTTGCGATTGGCGGATCAAAATTTTCCATTTACTTAATTGAGTTCCTCAGGTCATTTCCCTCAACCCAAAGCAACAGTAGGTTTCTAATTTGCATTACCTGTTACACAGCATTGTGAAACAGCTAAACTGAATTGCAACTACTCAAAGAACGCTTAAGCCATGGCGGCAAAAATATTTGCATACAACGATGTACTAATCACGATTAAAATGGCACAAGTCACGCCAACACGCTTCGCCAAGAAAGCCAATGATGTTTTATTATAAAGTTACTTTGAAACAACATGCCACACGAGTACGAAGAGGTTTGTACGTGTGTACATGTGTGAGCTCTTAAAACTAGGGTGTGACTAACGACATTTTGCGAACTTCCGGTCGCTTGCGGCGCAACCAAAAAGCGCAGCCAAACAGTTTGAGCGCACCGATTAGCTAATTTTATGTTTCCGCTACGATAAATCAGGAGTAGTAAGAAATGCGGTCGAAGTGCGTGCGCGAGGAATTTGAGGAGTACATAATATTTTTGTACTTCGCTTTACAGAAGTSTATAGTTATTTTTAGCAATATCATTGTATAGTTTCTCGGTTTAGTTCAAGTTAAATTTGGACTTATTTATTCCTAACCTATTTGATACTTTTTCAACTTATTAATATCTGTTATAATTTTAAATATGCTCTTCGTTTTTAGATGCCAGCGCGGCACAAGATACCGGCGAACAAGGCAACGATTGGAGTCATATACGGAATCAAAGCAGTGCCAACGGACGGATCGGTACGGGAAACATGGTCGCCATAGACATGCAAAATGCTGGAAAAATAAAATTCGATCCGCCCAAAGTGCCAGTGATATTTGTTTTAGGCGGCCCAGGTAGTGGCAAAGTCACGCATTGTGACACATTTATGCAGGAGCGCCGCGGTGTGACGCACATAAACATGATGGATTTGTTGCAACAATACGCAATGGGGAACGGTAARCGAACAATATCTATACTATCTCTGTATATATTGTTTTCWTAGATATACATATATATACATATATTTATGTACGTACATGTTTGTTTRTAGATATGCAAGACTTCTCGCAACTATCCTCGAAAACCGTCACAGAGGTGCTCATGTTGGAAATGAAAATGGCTCCAGCTGCCAAAGCGTACCTAATTTCAGGATTTCCTCGCTCAATGCGCGACGTAGTCGAATATTCAGAAAAGGTGAGTGATACGATATTGATTTGCATGCGCTTTTGATTCGGCATTATTAAACAACAGTCTATATTTACTAATCGTTTTCTAAGCATACACTTGCAAGTGATCCATCATCTCACAAACTAACCATAATTTAACTAACTATGCCCACGAAACTAATGACCTATGAAAAAATAAGAACACCCCATATACATACATACCTATGTACATAAAACATTTCATGAACATTCATAAAAAATTGTTTGGAGGTCTGCAAARTAGGTCTCCGTGGCGATCCTATACATTCCAATCAAATTTCTACCCACGAGTGAGTTTTTCAAGATCGGAACCAAAAAGAARTTGCACGATAATTGATAATAAAGTTTGTAGCCCTCGTATTTGGCAAAACTGACTCTGGGCCGTCGATATTCAGAGCCGAAGTTTTGATGGAAAAACACATTTTTCTCTGCTTTTTCCACCATTTGGCGTTGTATCGCCACAATAATTGAGTAAAATAGACGCCTTTGCATCTTATCAACTCCTGAAAACGGTGATCATCACTTTACCGAACTACTCAACAATACTTTATACTTCTCTCAATGGTTCTAAATGGTATATTATTATCTATATCACATGGGTGCTATTCTAAAAAATGTCCAGAAATAATGAGTTCACCAGATACTCAGCATTCAAACCAATTAGGAGGTAGTCAGGTGCAGTCCATATACTGGCAACTGTCTAAGGCTTCTTAAAGTCACCATATCCATAAACATCCAATGTTAAACCACATAGAATAGCGGAACTTTAAGGAGACTGCATGCTCATAAACCTTGCAGCAGTTCCCACCAATTCTGATCTCTTTTTTATTTAGTTCGATGAATTTGGTAATTGTTCAAAGCTTCAAGCGCTTAACAAGTTTAAGGGCGGTTTCGCTGTGCTGCTATCGCAATGAATACCCTCCTCTTCAAACTTGTTGAAATGTTCGCATATTATTAATGAGCTTGATCAAAAAACTCAAAGTGTCATCAATTTCACTGAACTAGACAAATCGGAAATGAGTTCGTTACTGCAATCCTTTTAAACTATACTATACCTTACTATATAAATTGACTTTCTCACTTTTTCATCCAGAAATTCCACTCGCTATACACATTTTTACATCTGATCAGCATATCTCTGACTTAAGCTATACACTTTACCTTTGCTATATTCGCACACAACCACACACCTACAAGCAGGTCAAACACAAGTAGTACGAAATTTATATTTTATTGCAGATTCAAGTCGTGAATGGGGTGATCTTGATATCCTGGCGTCAGTCGGTTCTGCAGAAGCAAATTGATTATGGCGCTAAATTAGGTCATGTCGTACTCTCCTTAGCCAAAATGGAATTAGAGAATTTCTTCAAAAATGTGATGCCCGTAGCAGATTACTTCGATCAAAGTGACATGCTAACAGCAGTAAGTAATTCTTAATAATGACAAAAATCTATTTTTAAAATTGTCTAAAGTCCTTTCGATCGAAATTTGCTTTGAAAAAAAAAAAAAAAGAATCAATAATTTCTTTGATCATTTTCCAGGTAAATGGCGAGCGTGCACCCGCCGAAGTGTACAAAGACTTTCGGGCCGCCATACTCGATGTGTTGAGCACGCTTGAGAACCAAGAGGCCATGTTGAACGGAGTCACAGGTATGGGCAGAGGGATACATGATATACCCGGCAGTATAGTTAGCGTAGACACCGCACCTAGTCAAGCCGCGAATATTGCAGACATTTCTAATGCCAACGTCAACACAACTGTCTTTGCTGCCAACAACTACAACAACATGAATAGAAATCCCTACAACAACCATGTGGGTAATCCGAGCATAGCAAATGCCGTGGGCGCGCACATTGCTTCGAGTGTCAACGCAGCTGCTGCGACTGCACGAATGACAGAAGYCGAAGTTATCACCACACAGCCAGAGGTGATGAACCAACAAAATGCCGCRACGAGTATGGACCWCAGCGTGGACAGCATACCGCCAGTTATTTGGGTCATCGGTGGGCCGGGTAGTAACAAGGCGACACTCTGTATGAAGGCCGTAGGGTTGAACCCTGGCTGGGGACACATTAGGTTAGTAKSAGAGTGTGATGTTCGTTGTATGGTGAATGTGATATTTCAAAGTTTAAACCTATTCGYAGCTTGGGACGTCTGTTGCGTGCAATTACTGACTCGGCGCCACGTGCCAACACGGAAAGCTACACCGTCAAAGAGGCACTATCCGCTGGCGAAATGGTGCCAGAGAAAGCGATCAACAACATTCTCGATACGAATATAAGACAATTAATGGATCGAAAAGGCATATTGATCGACGGTTTTCCGCGAAACTTACAACAAGTCAAACATTTTGAGAATAAGGTGGGCTTTGAAATTGTCACTAWGATTGAGAGACAGCTTACAAAGGATCTACTCAGGAGTTTCTTAATTTTATAATTGTCATTAATTACCATACAATATGCTCAATGAGTAAAAATTGTTTTATTTATTTTTTCCTTTAGTACAAACAACGGCCGCCAATCGTGCTSCTGGACTGCTCTAAATTACAACTRGGGCGWGGACGGGTTGACGATACCGTGTCCTCGTTCAGGCGACGTTTGGAGCTCTTYCGCGAGCAAACCCTACCAATGCTAAAAACTATGGACAATAGTAGTCGTTTACAAATCGTAAGTGCACAGAAGCAACCTCATGAAAGAAASAAAGGYTTTAGATCTAAATCTAAAGTTACCATATTTTTTTAGGTCGATGGCGATACAGATAGCCCATCGGTGCAGCGCGAATTTGAAAAAATTATACGTCAGCACATACAAAGYATTGAATACGCAGGTCCCGGAGGAATGAACAAAATGGCTGACGCCGCTGTGATGACAAATCATGTTGATCATGATCAAACCGACGCTATACTACAAGATTTAGAAAATAACGTTCCGGGTGCAGTGCCAACGATAAGCCATCATGTATCACTSATGAATGGTCATTTAAAGAATCGAAATAATGGTGCTGTCAATAATGGCGGTGTGGTGATGAATGGTGACGCACGGATGGCAGGCTTAACTGGTGGCATTGATTTCMGACATATGCTGCAGGAGGCCGAAAGATACCCGGTAGACTCGTATATGTAAAACCTAAAAGCGCTYGAAATCACTTAGTGCGATACGAATGTTAAGAAAGCAGTTCAACAACATTTATTTKAAGGTTTTGTAGTTTGAACATAGTATATTTCTTACTGCTTCTTCTTGTAGTTGGATACAATATCTTCAAGAGAAAGATTCATCTAATATTTTCCTAGATTAATTGATCTGTCAAACGTGAATGTAGGAAAGTGAAAACATATTTGATATCTAATAGCAGTGAAAATTTACAGTTTTTTATATTGCTGTTTCTTATTATTACACCCAAAGCGTTACCTCTAGAGTTTTCGGAGTATTTTTTTTTTACCAAAAATAGCTAGACTCGTTACAATAAATTCTTGTTTGAATTCTTCCCTTCTATGATAATTTAAGGTTATGCGGATATTTTCAAAAAGAGAAGCCATGGAATGTCTTACAAGCGTTGAAAGAAACACAACCCGTTTAACTCGAATCTTTCCACATTTATACTCAAAAAATCAAGAAAATTAAGGTTAATGGTTTCCGTTCAAACATTAAATTTTTGAAATTTGACAGTTAGTATCTCGTAAAACATCATCATGTACAAAATTCCAATTGCTTGTAAGAAAAGATTATTGTCAAACGACTAGTTGAGCTTGACAGTTGCACTATTTGTAAACAAGGGCGTCGAAGAGTTGCATTGGTGTCCTTTTCCGATTGTTACTTAAACTCACATTGGGCCTCCTAAAAGCCTTGGTGCGAWTGAATGACGTTGTTAAAATAGTACTACTAATGGAAACCAACTGGATGTAATCTCTCCATATTTATAATAATCTTCTTGAATGGTAAACAGATTCGGTGCAGCTCACTAAATTTCCATCACCCTTATAAGAACTATCGAATCCTAAAAAACAGATTTGAACGTTCTGTTCGGGGAACATTGAAGTATTTCAGCTCTCAATATTGGAATTGGTGCATTTTGTTTTATCTCTTCGATTGAYTGCAAATGGGTTTCATTCCGGTGATTGTTGACTTCTTTGCATTTTATACAACTAAACTCGCACGATCAAACATGACCGAAGAGACCTGTTTACGGTACTCTTTTTGAAAAAAAAAAAAACAAACAAAAAATCAGCTTTATCGGGACGAGTCGAGCGTTTCACAACGGGCTTGTCATAGAAGAAGGCATGTTTTGAAAATCTCTCAATTGTCTTTGAAAGTTTGGCCCTCTCGTAGGCTTGTGTTTCTGATAAAACTGAATTACCTTTTTCCAAMATTCGCAACTACTCCACGCACGAATTTTGGTTAGAAATACAAAATTTGAGAAACTTTCTTTGTTTTATAATYTTATCCATTGTAAAAGTCACAATTAACTGAGGTGTACCGATTGAAGCAGCTGCTGCAAACAAACGGGTTGACAGATCGCATAGTAATTAAGCGCAGTCCTACCAATTTAGAACAATGTTAGTTACAAATTCCGCGTGCTTTTTGTCACAATGTATGCTACTAGTTAGTAGTCTTAGTTTTATCTGCTTTTGAACTGTGTAAAATATGATATACAAAATAGGCTGGCCTAAAAATGTTTTCTTCTTAAATGCCGTAAAAATATCGCTCGAAATGACGAAAAAATAATTCTAGTACACTTTGAACTCTTACTATTAATATTGTGTTATATTGCTTGTCAAAAAAGTCTTGCGGTATTTTCGCTAGTTGGCGCTGAGAGCGTGTAGTTCTAGTTTTATTCGTCGCATCGGGTCATGCTATACCTTTTTGGAAAGCTCATTTCACGCGCTAACACCTGTTTGATTGATTGTCGTTTCTTTTAAGTCGTTCGTGAGTTATAGCGTCGCAAACAGGGAGCAAAATAAAGAAGAAATATGGCATATCTTACTGTACTACTACGATAAAAGCAAAAATGCATCTCAAGCCACAAATAAAATTTGTGCAGTTTATGAACCCGATACAGTTTCCATTTCCACCGCACAGCGATGGTTTCATCGTTTTCGTTCTGGTGTAGAGGTGGTCGAAGATGCGATACGCTCCGGAAGGCCTGTCGTCGAAAATTGCGATAATCTCGCTGAATTGGTCGAAAGAGACCGGCATASTAGCAGCCGTAGCATCGGTCAAGAGCTGGGCATGAGTCATCAAAAAAAATTTTATGAAGAATTGAAAACTCAATAAAAAAATACCGCAAGACTTTTTTGACAACCTAATATACATATTATATTATGTTTTCGAATTGTGACTTTCGACATCGTACATATATAAGACAGGAATATTTTCTTTTAAAATTAAGAAGGTATTTTATAACTATTTGATTTCTTTATTGGGGTCTAAAGAAAATGTGTTTTTTTTTATTTTAAAATATAATAAAATTATAAGTTCGCAGAGCATTATTTTTCTAAGGATGCCTAAAAGTATGCAATATATTTCAAATTTAAATTGATCGTTTGAAATAAGATAGCCACGACTCTACTCTTATACATATATATCCGCTGTTTAATCTCTTAGTACCTGTGTTCATAACACAATTTTGGTGTTACAAAATACAGCGGCACACGGAAATTTCTGTTGCGAAAATTAAAAGCTTGTTGATGAGAAAGAAACAAGAACCTAAAAAATATGTTATGTTTGGTTGCATTTCGCTCCCACAAAATTTGACATTAATTTTACTTTTGAAACCTTTTCCATCATTTGAAACCTTGTTAAGGTCGTGAATGCATAAAAATTCGTAAATAAAAAATATGAAACTTAAAAAAAGAAAGAGATCAATTAAAACCATAAAAATCTACATATATTTAAACACTCATAAACGAAATAAGCAATTCTGATATTAATATAAAAAGAACGACAAAAAATTTACAGAAGAGAGATRTTTAGTGTGACAAGAGTTCCAAAAATGTATCAAGTCGTTACACACAACTTTGAAATGCAAACATAAAATATTGCATTCAACTAACTTATTTGACGAAATAATTAAGCGATTAATTTAGATCTAATSTAAGAGTTATTTATCTTTCAAACCGAAATGATTGAATATTTTTTATACACAACGATAAAAGATGAGTTCGGGATGAAACACGAAAATGCGAATATACTTATATATGTATGTATAAGTACATATATGAATATATGTATACCTTTACATATTCAGTTATAAAGCGGTATAAAATAACAGCAATGGTTAAATGCTTTAAATATCATATTTAAAAGAAAATATAAGAAAAATATTCTTAAGTGACCTTATTTACAACTGGCATATTAAATATAGGATATATTTGAATAACTTCTAAAAAATAAGAAAAAAATACTGTTAATTTTATATCTAATAATATTAGTCATATAAAAAAATAAATAAGCATAAACATAAGTACAATTGCAAATCTTTTATAAAAATGTTGAAAACATGAAATTGTTTTTGTTATTTGTGAAAGAAGTTATTCAATTGCAAAAAATGCTCTAATGAGCAGTGCTGCGTAGATTTAGATTTAAAATAGACTCAAACTATTTATTTAGATTTAAGTACATAGCTATAGAGTCGTTTATAATGCATACAATAYGAATTGTAACAAGGTTAAATTTCAATAAAAGTAAGTAAAATGGCAACATTTTTAATTTCCTGGAATACATTTGAGCCCAGTATTGCAATCAAGTCGATACTATTTTWAGAGGTTATACAAGGTGGTTTCCAAAGTAAACAGGACTTTTTGAATATAGCTCCCCCTGGTGGCGCCATCATTATTAAAAGCATTAGAATCTGTTATCTTTATCGATCGCTCAGTGAGATTTTCATGACATTTCATTGATTGGAAGTGAAGTTATTGGGGTTTAAGTGTTAGGATGTTTGTGTTATCGGTACGCAGAAAATGAGCTTCGAACAAAGAGACAACATTAAATTTTGTTCTAAAATTGGTAAAACTTTTACCAAGCCTTTAAATTGATGAAAGAAGTTTATGGCGATGTTTGCCTATCCCGTAGCAGAGTGCATGAGTAGTTTCAAAGTGGTCGTGAGGACATAAATGACGATCAACAAGTGGGTCAATCAAAATCCATGATCACTGGAAATTCCATCGAAACTGTGCGTGAATTCATCAAAATCAGCCGAAATCATCATCGAAATTCATGGAATTGAACATCTCTGAAACATCGATTTATAGCATTTTGACCGAACATTTGGGCTTACAAAATTGACTGACGACCAAAAATTGCTCAAAATCCAACATTCGAAGGACGGTTATTTGACCAAAAATCACATTTTAACCACCAACCACTCCCCGTATTCACCTGATATGGCACCGTGGGACTTCTTTCTTTTCGTAAAAATGCATTTGCCCATGAAAAGAAAGCGTGATGCAGAGGTAGATGCCATTCAAAGGACTTGCACCGGCATACTGGCGGCCAACGAGCTAAAACACCCGTTCGACATGCTTTTGGACCGCGCAAAAAGCTGTATTGACGCAGAAGGAAACTATTTTGAATAAAATAAATGATTTTGCCGAAAAAACCATTTGTTCTGCGAGTGGTATCTTTYGATTGTATTTTAAGACTTAGTTTTACTAAAAATATTTWTTTGGGAAGGAACTACAGCTGATATCCAGGAACTATATATCTGCACTGGTTCCTYTGAAAGTAAAAAACCAAACAAATTTCGTTAAAGTAATGTTAAATTTAGTATTTATATATATAAACATATCGGAAGCTCTATAATACACACACTCGTATACGTAGAAAAAAAAGTCATCTTTAACAAATAAAAGGGCTAAGTTCGGGGCAACCGAACATTTTACRCTCTTCAACACGYACGAATTTAAACCAGGGAAAACTTCAAATTTAAACTTTAGCAAATAAAATTCCCTACATATTTGTCGTGTACTTTTGTAGAGTGAACAATTCTGAGAAATATGCGTTTAAAGTCAAAGAGACGCCATAAAATACGTCTGATATGTAGGAATTTAAAGATAAAAACTCACGATTGTATTGTATTTTCTATGAAAATTTTTTACAGGCCGTGGTCCAGTTCTTAGTGTTAATAT